ATTATTCTTTTTTCTTCTCCGATTTAAGTAAAGTGTTATGAATGTCCAGTAAACAAAGTGTTTTATACTGCATACAGGCTGTCTAAATACTCCAAAGAACCTCCCTTGAAGAGGCTGATTTATTGGTGTACTGTCCCAGTTTGCCTGTACTGTACTGTTAGCTTGAAAGTCAGCCCAGTATTTGAAATGAACCAGAGTGACTCTGCTATATTATAAACAAAGGTTGAAGAGTAGAATTTAGCTAGAGATAGATTTTATCACCAATTTTAGACTGTACTAGAAACCAAGGAGAAATGTTGGTGTAAGTACGAAGAGGGGTTTGTGTACACATTGGACTTTGATGAATAAAGACTTTAAACACCTTTTTTATAAGGATATTTAGGCCAAATAAATAAAGGTTTAGATAAAGGGACTGCAAACCTAATTTCAATTGACCCTCCAATGAAAGTGTGGCATGTCCGATTTACAACAGTGTACCCATACAAGCTGTGTATAATATATCAATGTTTATAATTCTGAAACCTGAATATTTTAAACTACGATTTCTTTACAAAAGTGACTAGCGCATTTTTACTGCAGGAAAACAAAGGAGAAATTATTGAACAAAACTACAATATTGATCAGATAAAGGTTACGTAACATGGGTACCGTTGCGTATCTGACATGTCCCAACCGAAATTAAGGGTCACTTGAAATTCCCCCACCCATACAGTCCCTTTAAGTGGATAATCATATATAAAGAATAAAGTATGGCTGACTGCTTTGATTGTGGGCAAGATGCACTGGAGCTCTCAGAACTTGATACTCATGCTCTGTAATATCTATCTATCTTTTTATCTATCCATCTATCTGTTTATCTGTCCATCTATCTATCCCTCTATCTATCTGTTTATCTATCCATTTATCTATCCGTTTATCTATCCTTCTATCTATCAATCTATCCGTCTATTTTGCAAAGCTTGAACAAAATAAATTTGCAAAATTGTTTATTTCTAAGCATACAGTCTGCAAAATACAGGCAGATTTTCTAATAAAATGTCAGAGGGGGAATTTTCTTGTCTAAAAAAGGAATAATGTTGAGTATAATTAATGCCTGTAAACCATACTTCCATTATGCCTGATTTTTCTGACATGATTTACACTTAACATGCAAATATGATACAACCTCCTCTTCTACAGATCACGTTGTAGGCTGACTAGGAGTACAGCTGCACATTAAATATAATAACTTTATTACGATGCTTTTCATTTTAAACCATTTAATAATAATCATTTACTTTACTTTTTATTTGAAAAATGGCAAAATAGATATTTTTGTATTTTGAGGAAGTATGGGATTACATCTCATATCCTAAACATGGTATTTCCACCGTTCAACTAACCTCCTCATTAGTATTTCTGATTTTAAAAGGCAGTTTAACTTCCTTGAGAGGATAAGTCACTGCTCCGTAAGGAAGTTGATCGTATTGTTTATGTACAGTACACGATATACTGCATGCAGTACGCTGTTTAACATTATCATGTAAAAAAAGGAAAATTTCAGTTCTAAGGTAGAAGGACCATTTGGCAGTATTTTGACATACAGTTTAAAAGCTGTGTCTGATCCAGTATGAATTGGATATATTAATGTTTATAATTTTGAAAACTGATTATTTATAATTGTGGTTTCTCTACTAAAGTGACTTGCGGCATTTCTACGGCAGTAAAACAAATAGGAGTTATCAGTGCATTTTTACACCTGGATAAACGTCCATATTTTCAACATTATTGATTAGATTAAAGTTGCAAGGACACCATTTCACTTTTGGCCTTTTTTGCATTGCATGAGGGTCAAGATTTGTTCATTTGTTTGAACGGGAAAAAACGCAAAAGTACTAAAATAGATTGGTTTAGACAAGGTATATAATGCAAGGAAAGNCCGGATATCCTGGATATACCCGGATATCCTGGATATACCTGGATATCCTAGATATACCCGGATATCCTAGATATACCCGGATATCCTGGATATACCCGATATCCTGAACTAGTTTACACTTTGAGCATCCTCGTTTGATTTGATATTGAGTTATGTTTGCTGACAAATACACATCCTGTACAGTGCAGTGTACAGTTGTATAAACATATCTAGTAATCATGAGTCAGGGTAAAGAAGAAAATTTGCAGACACAGGTTATATAGGTTTATAGTTTTAAAACATAATATAATACAAATATAAATGGGTATTTTAATTAAGATAACATTGATTTTCTAGATTTTTAAAATTGTTTACAACAATTCTCTTGTATATCTTTTAGATCTATTAGGTCTAATCTATCTGGTATATCTGTAACATCTACTAGGTCTAATCTATTTAGTATATCTGTTATATCTATTAGGTCTAATCTATTTGGTATATCTGTTAGACCTACTAGGTCTAATCTATCTGTTAGACCCACTAGGTGTAATCTATCTGGTTTATGTGTTAATTACATCTACTAGGTCTAATCTATCTGGTATATCTGTTAGACCTACCTAATCTATCTGGTATATTTGGTATATCTACAAGGTCTGGTCTATCTGGTCTATCTATTAGGTCTGGAATATCTACTATTTCTGGTATATCTGTTAAATCTACTGGACCGGGAACGGTAGCTCCAATGACAACAGATTGTCGTTTATGTTTATTTATTGCATTTCTTTCCAGCATAAACTGTCTCCTAACGTATACACCGGGGATACAGGGATAACAATTATTTTAAATTTTAATTTTCTTTTATTTCTATTTTACAATGTCCTGAATAAAAGTAGACAAGAAAATGGAAGGGTTAACATCCCTGTAACAGAAAGTTCAAACTGCGTAAATTTTTTAATCTTGAATCTTGAAACTTAAAGCTTTAAAGTTTCTAAATCAGTGTTTGGTAGAATTTAACATCGTTATTGTAGGTTGTTTTTAAACATTTAGGGTGTATACTGTATAGGCTTTCAGGAGACTTTACAAAAATATGAGAAGTTAAACATATATCAACATTGTTTATTCAACAAGTTTTCTTCTATTGTCCTTTGCAAAATCTTGACTATGGAAGAAGATATACTTACATTAACAAGCAATCGATTTTGCTTCGTTCAATATGTATCTTATGTCAAACTCAAAATTTTGCATAATTTCATAAAATAAAGCTGAAAGAAGTACGTAAGACTATAAACGTACATTTTTGTGCAGACTCTTAATAGCCAAAAAAAAGATATCTAAAGACAAATAATAACGATGCTCAACTCTAGTGTTTTATCTGATATTGTTTGATTTACCAATAAGGGAAAATTGTAATACATTAGTGTTGTTATTGTTATTGTTGACCGATTAAAGATCCAACTTCCTTTCTCTAAAATATATTTAAAAATATCCCCCCCTTGGCACTTCTTCCTTTCTTTAGAATATATCTGTAAATATCTCTCAGAACTTGAT